TATTGCCACTGCATCACTGCAATCGATTTGTCACTAATAGAGAGAATTATTGCTTTTAAAGCTTCTCCAATGGTAATGGGTTCTTGATAGGAAAATTCGTCCATTTGAAGTCTTTTTGGTTGTTCTTGCTAACTCATTTTTGTGTAGATAAAAGGCTTTCTTCCTATGGATTCAGACGGAAAAGTACTATAGAGCAAAAAAATTGGTTGTATGTTTAAAAGGTTATTAGAGGTGTATGATTGTATATAGAGTTCTTTTTATAAATAGGCCCATGCATAAGGTGTTTTTGAAAATAGGCTTCCTTATAATTTTAATTGTTTTTAATCAAGAGAATTAAAATTAAAAAAAAATTACCCTTAATGAAACTGACCTATTTGTTTGACTTTGCGTCTCAACTTGAAACTATTAATAGGTCAAGTATGTTTACAAGGTGTGTAACTCTTCAATTCTCATAGACAGACCATACATCTCTATATAAATAATTCTGTTGTAAGCATCCCTCATTGGTTCAACTTGTGAGCATTTTTTGCAACGATAGAAGCATTTTGGAGTAGGTTTTTTTTACATAAAGGTAGTTCAAATATTGAGCAATGAGAGAAAGTTCATATTACTAGGAGAAAGGTATAATATGTTTTTATTCTTATTTTTAATCATCTAAAAAAATGTTTTTAGGACTATTGTTATTCTTCATAAATGTAGGCATATTGCTTATTCATATTGATATTCTTGTTGTTTGAAATTGTTGAATATAAACATGAAGTTAGTATTATTAGTGTTTTTGTGGTCAAAAAGTGACAGAGCATGTGTGGCTGGTTGATATGTATGCATTATCATTTTTTTATAAAAATTGGGTTTAAGATTTAAGTATTGTGTGATTGAGGGCTTACATACGTGGTTGACACCTTACGCATGATTGGATTTTGGCATGGCATCACTTAGAGTGTACGTAATTATGTTAGGTACTATTTTTAGGGTTTAACATTGAGTGACTGGTTGATATGTCATTGTATGAATATTGTTCAAGCATGGCATTACTTAATGTATACGTGATTAGTTTAGTTGTTCTTAGCATTGCGTGACTTATTGATAGGTCATTGCATGACTTCTTATAAGGCATTGCATGACTGTTATCTATATGAAAGTGTACGAGTGTTATAATTGTATGAAATTTATCTATATAGCATTGCATAACCAACGTTACGTTCATTATGTATTATTTTGGGTCAACTGTAATGCTTTAATATGTATATGTTGATTTACTTAATAATCCATGCTCGACATCTGCATTAATTATTCTATTTCATGGTTGTCTTAAAATAGTTAAAATTATTGTGAGGGTCATTTTTGGAGTGAGCTTATGAGGAAGGCTATTTCTTATAAATTCCTATTGTTTTTTTAATCTACAATGATCATATTAACTAAAATGAAAATGTTATCTGTTTTATATTGCAGATGGTTAGAATAGGAACAGAACAGAATAATGTGGAATCTTTGTTTTATATGCTGAGGCATCGGTGGGGCTTTAATGCTGGCATTAACATCCACTATAGGTGGTTGTATCTGCATATGATACGTGAGATGCTGCGTAAAGTAAATGAGTTGGAAGCCTTGAAGAGAACATGCTTTGGACATATGATGGATGTCAAATTAGAGAAGAGTTTATTCTGTGCTAGTATCATTTACAACCTAATGCTATGTAGAATCAATGAACCCTACACCATCAAAGGTGAGTTATGGTTTGCCATAAGCAAAACGAAAGCCCGATTCTCGAAGAGGGAGTTCTACCTAGTGACAGAACTGAAGTTAGGTACCTTATCGGCCTTTATTTCATTCCTTATAAGGCCATCCTTGGAGGAAATCATCAACGATATTAGGGATCAGGGAGCGAGGTGAAAATACAACAAGTTTTAAAGACGTTCAAGGGAAGACAGTTTTAACAAGAGGGAAACGCGACCAAGATGGGCCTTTTCTTGATCGCGAGTAATGTTTTATTCGGACAAGACTACAGATGATTAGTGATTTTATGGTTGTTATTGTTGGTCGAGAATATCGACGATTGAAATGCATTCCCATAAGGCACATATGTTTGGAGTCTGACTGTCGATTACTTGATAAGGGGTTTCGAACCTCCAACAGTGTGAGTAGCAGAGAAGAAACGTTATTACCTCTACAAATTTATATGGGGGTTTCAGTGTGCTATACCCTAATGTTTTTCATTATTCTTTTTGTATAAGATTTTATGAGGTGAGTAAAATGTTTTACAACTGATGTGTAGTTTTGGGTGTTGGAAGCAATTCCTGATATTTGAAGTTTATTTGGAAGGCAACGCCTGTTTGGATAGGTTTGTCCAAGAATGCTAGAATGCTAAAATGGCACTGTGACGAAAGGCTTATAGGCTTCCACGTCAATATTACAGGTTTGGAGAGAAAAGGCAAGGTGAGTAAAGAAACCATATTGTTTTTATTTTATTTAATTATATTTTTTTGTCATAAGGTAGCTAGGTTTCAATCTAATGGCAATGTATGTTTTGGTGCAGTTGTAAGCAGTCGGGACCTTGGAGCTAACTACGGAAGAGATGTTGACCGCATATTGGGTCGACATTGAAGTTTTTTTTATTTTTTTATATAATTGGAGGACGAAGGATTCGAACTCTGCTCTTTAGGTAGGGCGATAATGCACCAACCAATGAGCCAAATGCTCAGGTACGAGCCGACATTGAAGTTAATATCTTCGAGGGGCAACAATATATTCTATTATGGAAGTTGGAGGGTCAGTTACAATTCGGTCCTTAACAAAGGAGGAAGATAATGGATCGTAAATAAAAAAGTACGGTAAGAAGATGTGTTAAGTGGAATTGCATCATGAACGATGAGGTCCATGCCCAGTTCACTGCTGCTGAGGCGCTTGATTCTCCTCTTATTGTTCCTCATGCTGCTGTTACTGTGACTCCTCACACTGCTTCTCCTTTTGCTTCTATTGTTGCCCTAATGCTCAAACGCGCAACCCGCCACTGCATTCTCAAATGACTACAATCTTTAAGTGAGAGATGCATCAGATGTGGACATATTGGAAGAAGGACCTATAGTTAATGTGGATAGAGATGCAAATGGACATGCAAATGCAGATGCAGTCATTCCAGATAGAGGTTGAGTGAGACATGCAGATGCATATGCATGCAATGTAGTTGGAGATCCAACGGGACATGTAGTTGGTAATGCAGTTAATGCATCTGGATATCCAGCAGTCACTACAAGGACTAGAAGATCGGATTGTTAGTCGGCTGATCAACCATTATAAGGTATGAGCTTTTATCTTTTTTCATTGCATGAGTTATTACATGTAAGATGTATACACTGTTTTAATGTGTTTGACTTTTTTTATTGTACAGAGTCGGTCGATGGATAGAGAGGATGGTGCACGTAACAAAGAGGGCAACAATATTAGGATTGATCTTGATGAGGTAGGTGGCATAAATCAAGCAATTGCATCAGCTCCAAGCTGACCTCTTGTTGCCTTGATCGAAGATCATCCTATCTGTAGTCCAACTAAAATTTTCCTACATCTTACTTCTATCTCAACTCCACCAGAGGCCCCCTAGGATTATCTGCGCACACCTTCTCTTGAAGCTCCACCTTTACCTCTAATCGAAGAGGCACCTCATCTTGCAAGTAGTCCAACTACAACTTCCCCACATCCGGACTTCTCAATCATAACTGTTTGGAAGGATATTATATCTACTCCCGAAATAATTTAACAAATATCAACAAATTAATTTAAATATCTTCATACATATAGAGACTCACTACTCATTTCACAAATAAAATACATGACCATGTATCGATTGCGTTATCTTATCAATATCCATATTTTGTGTGATAAAACTTTCAAATAAAAACTAATTTTAAAAAAATACTTCAATATAATAAGATTCTCATAATTATAATTTTTTATACTATATTTAACAAAGCATGTAATATTTCATAAATTTTATTTTTAGTAAATCTATATATATATAATTTAAAAAATATTTATAAATAATAAAAATTATATAAAAATTTTAAAAAATATCTTTTATAAATAATTAATAAATATTGTATTTCTATACAATCAATTACCTTCTTTTAATAATACCTAAAAAAACACTCAAACTACTCCAGCATCACTGGAAAAACAAAATTACAAAGTTAAACAACTTAAAACTTAAAAGCTTTCAAAACACCCACAAAACTTATAAAGCTCTAGTTAGTTTCGATGCTGCTTTTCTGCAGCTCTAGCCTTTTATGGCTTCTTTGTATAACAAGTTATTAATGAAATCATCTGTACGTTTCCAAAAAAAAAAAACTTATAAAGCTCTCAAAGCACCCGCAGCTTCAAAACACTAAACTAATTTCTAAAACTTAAAAATCTATTTTTATAATAAAAAATTTCACCTACTTTTTAATAATATAAATCCAAAGTAAAACAAAAACAAATCTCAACTGAAACAAAAAATTAAAATTACAGAACTACTCAATTTTACATGCAAATTAAAATATTAATCGAATAAAATTTTAAATTGTAGCCTAAACAAAATGTAAATATTCAACTATATTCATTTATATTATCTTCGAAATAGCTTGCAGTTTACTATGAGCTACTGTTATTCATTTATATTATCTTGGAAATGGCTTGCAGTTTACTATGGGCTACTGTTATTATGGGATAAGCAAGTTTTTTTTTTTTTTAAATAGTTGAGGAAAGGAGATGATATACTCTGTAAGAAGGAGATCATGATGAGTAAAATGCTCAAATACAAGCAAATTTCAATTACAATACTTCTACCATAAAACTGCTTCGATACAAGAGTTTCGAACACGTTCGACACAAAAGGAAACTTAAAAACTGCTATTTAAGATATACATGTAACACACATTAGTCCGAGATGAACTCTATCGTTACAAAATTTGGAATATATAGCGGTCTTGTAACATGAGCTACTATAAGAAATACACACGAAAGCTTCATGGCGTGTCATCCCGATTTACCCTAGCAGCTGTGGCCATGGTATCCGCCACTCCACCGGGCGTGGGTGTCATGTCAGGCTTGTTTCTCAGCTCCGAGCCTGTCAGTCCATCAGCATCTTCACTTGTCACCGCTTTATCTTGAGGCAATTTTGAAGAAACATCCTGTCCCAAACAAAATTGTCAGGAAAGACGAATTGGGAAAAATTATTAGTCTAGCTAATTATGTGAAGGGCAAAGTATATATGAAGTCTTAGTTACCGATAGAACATCGGATATCGTCATCTTGTTATAATCATAAGACACACGGTCATTGAAAGTGGCAGCAGCTTGAGCTGTGGCGCCAAGGCCTCTACGTTGGGTCACATTGCTGCCAGCAGCTCTCACCTCAGCCACACGTATTGCGGCAGCATCACCTTGATGAACCGGTTTATCGCCAACAGAGATAGCTGTTGCCTCCAAAACTTCTCCAATGGTGATGCCATTATGATCAGCCGCACCCCTTGGAGTTGGAGATGTTGTCCAACCCTCATCCCCTCTAACTGGAGTTGGAGATGGAGAAGGGGTTATCCCTTGAGCATCAGATGGAGTGCACTGCCCTACAATCTGCTCGAGAAAAACAATCAATCTCTTACGACTTGCATATTATAATAATTGCATCGTGAGTTGAAAATGCAAGGAGACAAGAAAATATTTAACCTGGCCAGCTATAGCTTCAGCGACAACAACTTTTCCTTGGACGTCTCTCGATTTAGATACAGCAACGCCCACTCTTTCGACCATCTTATTGCCCTGGCCGGGACCAACAACACCGGACATCACATTTACATCAGTTGCAGATTGCATTACAGCGGCAGCACTGGCATCAAGCGTCTTCCCAAGCACTTGGTTCTCGGCAGTGCGCATGGTAGCTGCATCTCGTGGTGCAACTGGCTTAGATGCCAATCTACCAGTGACATCGAAAACATCGCCGTACTTGATAGCTTCCTGGTCGGAAGTTTGATCGCCTTGGGGCCTTCTTGGTTGTCTCTGGCTCATTTGTTTTAGTGGAACTGTGGATCAAAGACTGATGGATTTCGTGAGAAAACACTACGGAGGGTCGTGGTGGTGTATTAGGGTATATAAATGCGTAGTCCACGTATAATTAAGTTTAACACGTTTCAGCGAGGCAACAAGACATATGGAGCTTGGGTTGACAGATGGTGGTTGGGTACTTGAGTTTTCAAACTCGTCATAGTCTAACTCCCAAAATGCGACATATGGCAAGGTTAAAAGCTTAAGCTGAACCTGAGTTCGCCATTTGTTGTACACTTGGGCTGGGTCGGAGCATAGAGACTGGGAAGTAAAGGAAAAATGAAACAAGAAAGGAAAACCCTTCTCGCTCGCTCTTTTCTATTCTTTTCTTTTCATTTTTTTTTTCTCTTCATTGCTACATTTATTTTGATCACCAGCAAAAGTTGGTCAACAGCACATTAACTTATGTTTTGGGCATCGACCCCTGATTGTATTTGGCCTTTGGCCCATTATGGGCTCACTGCTGCATTTATTACCCCTGATTTGAATAAGAAAATGGTAGTCGATTATGAAATTAAGAAATTCTACCCTAGAGTAGATGTAATCTGAAAGATGACCTTTGATAATATTTTTTGGCAGAATCACATGGATTATGCATCTCTTTATTTTTACAAACAATGACTTATTTTTATCTCTTTATTTTTTGAGTTTGAACTAGTTAAAAAGTTTCTAGATTGAATTGATTTCTTAGTATTAGGGGGAGTCATTGAGATGTTAATTAATTGTTAAAAATTAAAATTCTTAACTTTATTTAAGTTACTTGATCCCCTACCATTTTATTTAATGCTTGTATTGCCACGAACTCAATTGAGTTTGACTGGTCCACCTCGCTCTGATTAAAAGCTCACTAATTTATTTATTCTAAATAAAGTTATGCTTTGTTTGAAATAAAGAATTTCAAGTAACTTTAGTGCATATATACTCTCAAAAAACCCTTTAGTGCACGTACCAAAAACATTGCCCATTCATCAAAAGCAAACGTGTGTGGGATCCCTCCATCATGTGAAAGCAATGATAATTCGCAATGCATCATAAGGCAGGTACATTCAAAGCCAACGCCAAGGGTCATCTTTCAATACATTGCTTAATAGCATCCACATATTTTTATATATTTTATATAAAAAAAATGTTCATAATTTAGGTGCATGTTACTAAAGAAAAGCTTCGTATCCTACCAAAAGATAACAATCATATTTTAAACAACATGTCGTCTTTGCCACCTACAAGTACAATGATCATATAAAAGGGAAGTCGCTCCTTATTGCTTTCCAAAGGGCAGAACCATCAATCCATTATTCAACCGCCATGAGCAGACCTGTAAAAGCCATTCTTTTTGAAAAATAAAGATTTTAACATTAAAAAGTTAAAGTAAATTATCTATTTCCTCATCTAATTTTTCAAAATTTCTATTTTGTTCACTTAAATTTGAAAGTTAATTATCAACATTTATAAGTGTTATTTTTAACTTTTTTAAAAAATAAATATTATTATTTTGATCCTTCAACCGTTTCAAAAATAACAAATATTCATAGATATTCCAAATAACCATTTATGTCAGCTGCCTTAAACAAGTGTACATGTCCACGTAACAATAAAAATTATTTTCAAAATATGACATGGCAAGAACAATTAATATGAATGGTATTCATGTAGTAAGAGCAGATGACGTAAAATGTCATGTGGAGGTCTGTTATTTTTTAATAATTGAATGATCAAAATAATAATACTTGTAACATTTAGTGATTAAAATGGTATTTTTTAAAAGAATTTGAACAATTAAAGTAAAAAATTTTGAAAAATTTAATGAACAAACAAGTGATTTGCTCAAAAGCAAATTAAAAACTAGCAAATTTTTTTTGAAGGGTGACTTTATTAGTACTAAGCCATCATGCCATCCAAAGTCTTTAATATTTTGCTAATGACTTTTATTGACATAATACATCAAGCTTGCGCATTAAGATAAATATATACAGAAACATAGGGAAACTGCTTTACAAAATTTATATTTCAAAAAAAAAATTATACTACATCAAACTAGTAGTTAACATACATGTACATGTATGTTTCGAAAAAAGAAAAAAAAACGTGTACATGTGTATATAGATATTTTGTATATATTACTTTTTTCAATTAAATGACAACTTGCAAAACAGTAAATAAAATTTTACAGGTAGGAACTTAGAACGGCTTAAATCGATTTTACGTGGCAAGGGTAGTTGCAGACAGAGAACCTGTTTCACCTGAGTCTCGCTTGTATCTTATTTATACTATCCATAATATACTCCTATATATTTTTTATGGTGATGTTGGGTGTACCGGTGTTGTACTGAACTTGATCCTTTTATGACAACATAAACTCAATGAGGAATCACAAACATATTCTATAATCAACAGCTTAACATTAAATAATGACTGTAATAAGAAAGATATTTCCTGCATAATCATGCAAAAACATGGTTGGGAAAAGAGGGAGTGGCAGTAGTAATAAAAAAGCCAAAAAAGAGATACACCCCCTACTTATTATAAGGAAATGAAGGACAAAAAAGAAGGTATTTGAAGAGGAAAAATAATATTCAATTATTATTGGATTAATGAAAGGTAAAGTGTACTTTGGCAATCTATAAAAGTAGGCAGTTTTGGTAAAGCCCTTCGGGGTTCAAAATAAAGCTCAACTAAACGTTTTCTTTGCCAGCTTTTCACATTTTGATCCCACCAAGCAAAGAACCACTTGATAGTTGATACTATTTTTCTTCAAAACTGATCAGACGGTGAAGGTTAAAAGAATGGGAAGATCCTGGCCCCAAGAACCGGCACGTGTTAGCTGGTGAATAGTTATCAAGAATCAGCGCCCTTTGCCCACTGCACTCCAACAAACCTTTATCATCCCTAGCTTTTGTCCTGATGCTGAGAACCATGTCCATTTGCTTCTACTTTTATGGGTCCCACATATCCGGCCTTTCCTCTTTTTTTACCAAACTACCCTTGAGCTTTTTGCGTTTTTCCTTCTAATGTTCCGTTGAATGGGACAACTTACTAACCAAGTTGATCAATGTGAACAATGCAGGGGTAGCTAAATGACTATAGTGTCCTTCTATTATTTGGTGGAATAACAGATGGAGTGCAAATTGCGATATAAATAAATTAAGGAAAGTATTAAATAAAAGATATTGAAGCAGTGTTATTTATTTAAAATAACATTATTTTTTTGTGTTTTAGTTATCAAGAACAAAAACACACAGAGAAGTGAAGAAATTTACTACTGCGATTTTGATTAGCTAAACAACCGACATTTTCATAAAGTTGCACATGCTAACTGCTATACTCTTTATTGTTTATTTAGTTGCACGTGTTCTGTGTTAAACAAAATGATCTTGTATTCCAAAATGGTACATACGCTACTTTTTCATTCAAAAATGTCTTCTTAGGTCTTCATCTTCTCCCTTAAGCAATCAACTTTTGTTTTATTCAATGAAATAGTTTAAAATGATCGTCAATATACATTGCATGATAAGGATTTTGAGTGTACATTCTCAAACTTTAAGAGTTTCAAAGATTTTGATGCACAAATATGGAATAGCGATGTGTATTGCTTCCATGGATGTCATATTATTTTGGGACAAATCTCATCTTCATTATGATAAATTTTGTAGGGGCCAAAAGAGGTTTGGGGAAGTGAATAATGAAAGGCGGTGTAGAAAGAAGTTGTAAACAGAACCAGAATTGGCAGGTGAATCGGAATCCTTATAAGATTTTTACCATGTTTGTCAACAATCGGCCACCTGGGGTGGGTCGACGATGGTTAGGCAGAATTGGTAGCCAGTTCTGTCAAGTGCTGAATGTGTTTATTCCTAGAAAATGTTCTAACAGGGGTAGACGTTTTGGTTTGCTTAGATATGGGGTTTTGACAAAAACATCGGCGGTAGCTTAGAGATTGAATGGTGAATGGTTGTTAGGTTACCGTTTCGGAGCTAACATGGCATGCTTCAGCCCTCGAGCGTCTTTTTGGAAGAAACATGATGTTCGAACAAAAAATATTTTTTTTACTATGTACTTGCTATATTCTCAAGAGCATCCTCTAATTTTTGTTAAATTAATTAGTTTAATAATGCTCAAAGTTAGGCACTATTTTTCCTCCTTTCAAATTAAAGGGTCTAGGACTTAAACCTCATAATATAATTTTTATTGGTCTTTGATCATCCTCTTTCTTAGTTCTCATTTCAAGAATCAAATGGTATATAATTGAATAAATTATTTTTGACTTGGTGGATACAACATATAATCTGATCATGAATGATCATATATAATTATGTTTCAATAGTAATTTTACATTATGCTTATCATGTAACAAGTCTTGATGTTTGTGAACATGATATATGATTTGTCATGGACAATTATCTGTAATTTTATAAGAGTATTTATTTTTTAATGTTATTTGATATTGGTTTAGCCCTCTCAACAAAAGTTGGCTAATTCCACCCGTGTGGAAACAAATGAACTAAGGTCTCATCAACAATTTAAACATGTATTAAAGAATTACCATTTGATTAGAAAAATCATTCAACGAGGTGACATAAAAATTGAGCGTGTGCCCATAGAGGATAATTTAGCAGATCCTTTCATTAAGGCATTATCCCAACAGAAGTATGATCGCTACATGACCACTCTTGGCAGCAAGAAAACCTCATGACCACTCCTGGTGTTATTCTTTATTGTATCTTGTGTGAATCACCATTGAAGGTCGGACAGCTTGAGGTTTGCAACAGCTCAAACTTGGTGGAAGATTTTTTGAGACACAAAGTTTTGTGAAGCCACAAAAGTATAACAAACTTTTACCAAATAGCTAGGATTAATTAGTATTAAACAACCAAATATAATCTTGTTATGGAAAAAGTTTTCATTTTTTTTTTTTTTTGCAAATGGTAAATTGTTTGCATGGCTTTTCTGAGCACAAACGCCATGAGGGGAAGGTGGTGGTGTAAGTTTGTAGAGAAAGGTTACTTGATGTTACTGTTGTTGTTGTAGGTTGTATAGAATTGTAGATGGTGGGCTTGCTGAATGTAGAGGTTGAGGATAAAAGGGGCCTATATACCGCCATTAGGTTAGTGTTGTTGATTCATGATGTTGCAGGTAATCTCTTGACAAGGTCTAGTGTTGACAAGGTAAAAATATCCTTCATTAAAGGCTAAGGATCAACCCTTCCTCTTTAAAATGATGATCCCTCTGAACTCAAGAGCCTTTTATCTCATGCGGCTTGGTAGGGATCGACTTCCCTCTTTTAAAAGGTTGATCCCTTCTAAAAAAAATTGAAACAAGGGATCGACCCCCTTTTGTAAAGGGTCGAACCTTGGAACACGATAGACCAGCCTTTAAGGCGCACAATGGTTAGTTTTAGCATTTAATGATCTCCAACAACTCTAAAAAGCTCTTAAGCTATAAATTGAAGCTCTCTACCACATTTATTAAAGAAGAAACTCCAAAAACAATCTCTAAACAAAAAAGCAACTAAAAATCTTCAAATCAACATTTCCTCTCCCTACATTCAAGTCTTCTTATATTAGAGCTTTGAGCTAAACCTTTTTACTTCATATTTATTACTCTTGATAATCTCTGTACCCATTAAGCACATTTGCCTTAAAATGGCTTTCTTGCTGCTCCTTACTTCATTTATTGTACCATTGACAAGGTTATGCTTCAATCATTAAAAGGTAGTGTTAGTTATACCTTAACCATTGAAAAAGTTGAGGTTAAATCTTAGTCTTGAAAAGGTTGTCGTAAAAGTTATGCTTAAACCTAAATAAAATAATTTTATTAGTGGATTTAAAACCCTTACTAAGATAAGGGTGAAGACGTAGACAAAAAGGCTGAATTTCTATAAAATATTTGTGCAAACAGTTTCCTTCTCTCAAACTCTCTCCTTGTTGAAAATAAATTTTTTTTTAGGAGTTTGTTATGTTAAATAAGCCTCAAAAAGGTTTTATTAACTTACAAGTATTTATCATCTCAAAACTTGCAAAAGTTTTCAAAAGTTCCAATTCATCCTCTCTTGAAATTTCACTCTATTTGAGCTTACTACACTAACAAAAATGGTGAATAATTTCAATGGGTCTTTGATTGACTAGGCTTGCGGCTCTCTTGTAGAAGGTATAACCATAACAAATATTTGAATTTTGCATTAATTTTAATCCCTATTTTGCACACTCTTGAAGGTCTTTAAAAATGTGATAAAGTTTTATGAATTTTCATCAAATGATATAACTCAAGTGTCAACTAGCATGACTTACACAATGAAACCAAAGGTTCACGCAGCCACTTCTGTGGGAACCTCCTTAGGGCCAAGATTCTTTCCTTGGCTCCCCTTTTAAGTTATATCCATGAAAGCATTTAAAACCACTAATTTATCGATAAATTTGGTTATTTCTACATGGAAATTGTTTGTTTTTTTTTTAAAAGAATGGAAATTGATCGTTACTATATATTTGACACTTTAGTAAAAATTCAAGATATAAGATAGTAGTATAACATTTGAAAACAATTTTAATGGACTTTTAAAATGCTCTTCCAATGTGTTTTCATACTTGGTATTTTATTTTCAAGTTTTAAGAAGTAGAAACAAGTCCATACATATAAAAAAAAATAAAAGCACAAATGGGAGTATTTCAAATATAAAATCCAAATCAAACATACTTATTTTCTTTAGATGAATAGTTTATTTTATTTGTCTGTTTATACTCATATTGTTTATCCTTTCAAAGAGAGGGAATAAAAATGATTCCGAGGGTAAAACAGACATGTAACAACTCATAGTTTTCCTTCCCATCCCATGCGTCAAAAGAATAATAAAATGTCAAAATCGTAAATCGGGTCAAAACGAGGCCCATATTTTTTTCCTCTAAAAATCTCAGTAAAACGGAGGAGCACACAGTACATGTACGATATTTAAATATAACTGCGACAAAGTCCTTTCAGATCCGTGGGATTCTGCTTCTTCTCTTCCTCTCTTACCCTCTCTTGGGTCTCATTTCCAGGGCGTTTTGATTTGAACCCCCCCCCCAAAAAAAAACCGCTTTCGTAAAATTAGTAGAAGCCAAAAAAAAAAAAGAACCCAGTAAAAATTTACATGAAATCATCGTTCACCAGAAGAAAGAAGGAAGAAGAAGAAGAAGAAGAAGAAACTCTCACTCTCTTTTCAGATCTAACAATATCAGATCACTTCACTCTTATAATTTCTGAAGGGCCAGCCTTTTGCCGGTAATTTTCCCACTCCCAAGCTTCTCCCGAGAAAATGACTGTCAAATTTTTGTTTGCTCTTAATTTAAGGTTTGGGGTTATTATTTGCCTGTCAGTTCTCAAAGTTTTCCTTTATTTTCGTTGTTTTTACAGTTTGATGGTTGATGGTTGTGATCTACGAAGATCTTGTCTGATTCGAGGCAATAGGGTTGTGGGTTTTTGTAATTACCATGATTTTCCTTTGAATCTACGAAGTTTCTGATGCAGTAATTTTAGACAAAAAATTAAATCACTTTGATTTAAGTATCATGTTGTTGGATCTGTCATGGCGAAGATCTTAAAGTTCAAGGTGTCGTTTTGGGTATGATTTTAGCCCTCAAAGTTGTCACCTTTATTGTATTTCAGTGGTCTGTAGGGAGGATTTAGTGGATTTAGAAGTTGGGTTATCACAGGACCGAGTTGAATCGTTGAATTAGTGAATTTTGATCATCAAAATTAAGAGAAGTATGGAGACTCTTGTTGTGGTGGCGCAGCATAGAAATCAGTATTGTAGCAGGGTGAAGCCACATGGGCCAGCTCGATTTGGGTCATCACCATCTAGAAATTTCAGAGGGATTAACTGTAGGACTTTTCAATCTGGAGCAGGATTACTTCCAACCCCGTTTAAGTATAGTTCTACTCCTATACGCAAAAGGGCATCTTCCCCTCCCTCATCATCATCATCATTTTCCACATCATCTTCCTTGAAAACACCATCTCCTATAGTTGACGGAACACACTTGGAGACTACCAGGAAAAGTTCTCCTATTCCTATTAACAACAACAAAACCCCTGGAAATGATAAGTCTTTTAATGAAGAGATCTCTGGGGAATGTTTCCTGTACTCTGAGCTTTGGGCTGGACCTGCTTATTCCAATTCACCACCGCCTAGCTCTTTGCCAATACCCAAGTTCTCGCTTCGTGCAAAGAGGACCGTGTCACTTGATTTGCCTGCTTCTGACCCTGTTATTGATGTTCACCCAACTGCCAAGTCTGCACCTGCATCCCCCACCAGGGAGCTTAGCCCTTCTGTAGCAGAACTTTTTCGTAGTGCTGACTCTGCAACTAAGACTTTACGTCGCATTCTCAATCTTGAGAACACTGATGACTGAAAAGTGAAGGAGCTCTTCAGCTCCTGTAAATAAGTTTACTGTGCAAATTGGAGTTAGTTTTAGGTTGTATATAGATTGAATAAAATGGTTGGTAGCATGGGTCAGTATGAATTTGTTTAGCTTTCTTTGGGGGGTGGTAGGAGAGGAAGTAATGGCAATGGTAGGTCGACAATCTCCAGATTTGGCTTTTTGAATAATGATTTGTGAGAGTTTGGTGCTGGTTATGAAAATTTTTGTTAACAAGACGCACAAGTTATGTGATTATGGGCTCTGTAAACGTGGATAGAAGATGACTCGAGCTGTTCAGAAAGCAGGGAGCTTATCCTAGAATCCAAGATTGCCTGCACTCTTCTTTGTCATGAAATTGCACAGATAACTGCCTTCTTATCTCTTGGACTTAAAGGAAACTCACAGATAACTGCCTTCTTATCTCTTGGACTTAAAGGAAACTATGTACTTGTTGACATCTTACGATGCCAAGTCCTGGGTGGTTGGTCTCAGTTCAGTTGTGGACTTTTAACTAATATCTTCCTTTTGTATTAGGTACAATGTATATACTGTAGTCTGTAGAATCTCCACTAAATTGCTTCTGCAAATCCCTTAGGTTTCTGTTTTATTTTTTATCTCATCATTTTTATTTCCTTCGTCTCCAATCAGTGTCCGTTTCTAGTAGTCTAACTTTGATTACTCCCTTTGTTTCTTTTTTTAAGCCTTGCCTCAAGTAGCCTGCCTACATGATCTTTCATTTTCTTGTTACACTTTTCCTTTGTCCATCGTTGCCTGAATTGGCTGCTTAACAATCAAATATCCCCAATATACTCTTCTTTCTTTTAGTAAGGATTTCTCTCCTCTACACTCTGCTAGGGTGTTGTTCCTTCCTCACCATCTTTTTCTGTTTTTTAAAAGGGAAAAATGGGAAGGGGAAGTAAAGTGGTTATATGTCACTTCTGCTTCTGAATCTTGTTAGGTTAGTCAGTGTTGCCATGCCCGGTCGCAAGTGTTGTTTGTGTCTTGTTCGTCCTAGTGGGTAATGCCACTCTCTCACTGTAGTGTTCGTAGAGCCCATCTTTCTTGGAGATTGTTGACTGTGCCAAGCTACTTACAAGGTATTTTCTTTCCATGAAACTTTAGATTATTATGTTAGTTTACTAGAAAGTCTTTGCTAACTGTTGCTAATAATCTGCTCTATATTTTTCTACAGGGAGCTACTGGGATAAGTATTTTAGGAGGCTTTATTAAAGATGTTTTCGTGTTTAGATGTAGTCGCTAATGAAGTCTTGTAGGGGCACCTGTCTCAGAAATGTTTGTTATCGGTTTCTTACTTTCCAATGAGTTCTTGAAGCATTAGCTTTGTAGTTTTGGGCTTTGTAGTTTTGGACTGTGTTTTCTTTAAAGTGCAATGTTAATGTTCAGAGTTAAGTATGTTCTCTTAGGGGTGTTTGTCACTTGTATTTATGCATTATGGTGCTTAAGTATGTTGGAATACCAATCTATTGTGATGTTAAATTATCATAGTTGGCAAGTGCTTTGTCTTCAATCCTTCCTGGTAACTTGAGGACTTAGAAATGCTCAGGTTCTTTGTCAAAGTTTAAATGTGGGAGTGGAAATTGGGTTAAGGCCCTCCATAATTAATGAGTCCCTCTAATTTGTCTTAAATGATAAATTTGTTAATAATATACGTATCTATAAATATAAAATTAAATAAAGAATAAAATATATTAATCTATATATACCTCAAAGCGATGCACCCCAAACCCAACTCCGACCGGGCCTCTGATTATCAAAAAACCAACGCGATCCCAATTAAATGTCACTGGTTCCGTTTCTGGATTGTTCAAATTCAAATAATTTTAACTTTTTATATTGTTTTTTGTTTATTTATTTAAATTTATTAATAAGATACTTATATTTTATGAAAAATAAAAAATAATGCAAAAATTAATAAATTGGTTTGGACTAGGAATAATTTTGATATCACTTTATTAATAGAAGACAAAATTGAATTCAAAATATTAAAAGATTCAAGCAAACATTATGGTTTAGATTGATTTCCATTTTCTCTCTTCCTAAATTCTTTTGATAGACTATTTTCACATTTTAAGTTTTAATTGAAATTTTAGATATTTGAAATGAATATTTCACCTTAAAGGTAAAAACACTATTAATAAATATTATGAAATGATTAAAATATTTTTTATTAATTTAAAAAATTATTTTTATATTTAAAAAATAAAAAAGGGGGTGCTTCTCAGCTCCCTAAGAAAGGGGAGCACAAGTCGGTGCGCCCAAGGGAGGGAAGCGCTGATTTGGTGCTCCCCGCCCTTTGGGAGCACCGATCTCCCTTGGGTGTATTTTTTTTAGAAGTTAATAAAAAATTATTAAAAAATTATATAATAATAATTTTTAAAATAAATAAAGAATAAAATTATTATTTTAATATTATCATATTATTAAAATAATAAAATTATTAACATTTGACTAATTGTTGAATTTACGTGTAAAATGAAAAAAATTTTTAAAAAACAAAATATCTATTTAGAAAATTAATAAAATTACTTGAAAGTTCGATTAAAATTTAAGAAAGTAAAAGTACTTTACTTATTTTTTTTAATTATTCTTTGGAAGTGTGGCTGTGAGATCTATCTAACATTTATACGAGTGATGTTAAGATTTATATAAAGTTTAATTTAATTATTGATAGCAATTTACATTTAAATATTTTTGAGATTCATGTAATGTAAAATTAAAAAATTGTTAAGGAAATGATATTTGAATTCAAGTCTTCATAGCTGGTATAAAAGCATATGAATGGGTATCTGATCTGGGAATTGTTGTTTTCTTTATTCTCAAAATTGAGGAATAGAAGATTAGTCCGGCGAAGCTTTAGAAGCTATTCCTGCTGTGCTGAAAGGGTTGATAAATTCTAGTTCCTCCTTCTCTTCTTTATTCGGATATGGGGTTCCAAGTGTGAAACGAGCGACTCAATGTCTTCAGTTTTGATGCATTGGCTTGCAAGGTTATGTCTGAATAATGGTTGACAGTGAATCCAAATGTTAAAGCGATTTCTTCTGAACCATTCGATACGGTAGAAGTTATTAGCAAGATCTTGGCTTGTGATGGGTGGAGTTATTGACTTTAGGACAATGTTAATGTGCTTCCAAATCCTGTTTCTTAAGCTCACAAATAGATGATTGGTGATTAGGGTGTCGGAGGGAGTTATAAACGGTGTTTCTGAATACAAGAACATGTTCCCATGGCTTCCTCTGTTTTAAATTTAGAAACAGGGGCTCTAAAATTTCATTGTCCTTGTTGTTGTCGTCTCATCTCTTCTGGTGTCAACCAGCCAGTTGCCCGGGAACAATAATGGGGGTTGCCGCTTGCTCCCCAGTCCCCACCAAGTTTTTTAATTTTATTTTATCTGGCCAATCACAGATTTTGGTTCAATTTCAATATACTTGCAAATAACATGAAAAAGTAAAAAGAGTGAAGGGATCAGCAATCGATACAAAGGTCGAAGTCCATACGTGTCAATCTAATAATTGTGATGCACAATACATGACAAGGCATGTGCAGTTTGATAAACACTAATGCTCGTATAACGAATCGGGCCATCTTCAATCACTTTGAGAATTACTGCTTAGCTTGTCTTCGCTTCGCCCGGCCGACTGGACTCCAAAATTAATTTTTAGGACTTTGTCCCTTTCTCTTTCACCTCGGATAGTTTCAATTTTGATAGCTCAAATCCAGACGTGGAGGCATATTACCATGACTGTTGTGTTACTTTTTTTTTTTCTATAATAAAGTGATAATTTATATTATTTTAATTTTTTATATAAAAAATAAATTAAATTTATTTGATTTTAATAAAATAATAATATTATAATTATGATTTAATAAAGTATATTAAACTTCACACTCAAGCATTTAGTTTATTAATTAGTATATGATTTCTCTTTCAAAAAATATAACGTTCAAATTTTTTTTTTCAAATATATTTATATATATAAGTGTATTAGATTTCAATATTAAATATGAGTTTAAAAGTGTAAGCTCATATGAAAAGATCTTAAGTCTTATAATGGATAGGATTAAGGAATCACTACGTAAAAGAAATGATAGGTTTCTTCTTTTGTCTATACAAAAATATTAAGATTCTCATTTATTAGAGAATTAATAGATCAAGGAATAAGAAGATATTAATACACTTAATCTCAACAATTAATATGATCAATATCGATTTCATTATCAAATCATGTATTAAGAATCAAGTACCAATTTTGTATTTTAAATATCTGTTATGATATGTCTTGAATTAGTATAAATTAATTATACATAAAATTCACGTTTACAGATGCCATAAATCTGAAAACCTAGCAGTTGTTGATATTCTATGTCTAATTAGACTTTGTGGAGAATGCATTTAACACGCTACTAATGGATTCGAGCAGTCATCCTAACTTGAGGGGACGACGTTTATATTAATACCGTACCGTCAATAGTGTTAAACAGGCTTGGACTAGCCAGGTATCCATTGTTGTTATCTAAGAGAGCAGCAGAAGCGCTGCACTTTGAACAATTAGCCATAATTTTGAGATATCGAAGCTCAGGATTTGATGTAGAAAGACAACGAGAAGACAGGTTTACAGCCTGCTTTGTTGATATGCTAGATACCCAAGCTATTGCATTATAAATCTAGACATGTACATTCAATTCCTGGATGCATTATAAATCTACAAACTATCAAATAACTAAAATCGGGTTGGTTCTTTTCTTTGTAGCAACTTATTCTTCTATGGATGAATGAACAAATTCAATTATCCAAGAAAGAATGGAAGTGATTAAAGACGAGAGAAATATATCGGTTGAATTTGTGAAGTGGGGATAGAACTAGGTTGGCTGAGTCTGATGATAAAAATTAAGCAAGCTATTTGGCAATTTTCTGGGATAAACAAATCATATATAGATTGCAGAAAAGCGAGCTTCTGTCATTTATACTTCTCTGATGCCCTTTTTTTTTTCTTTTCTTGATAGTTATGTTAGAGTTTCTCAAAGCGATGCATTGTTACCATCAAGTTGCATTTCCAGCCATTTTATTGATCGTAACGTCTTTTTTGTAAAAGACTCATCTGCATTGTTCCCTTTTCTCAGAAAACCTAAGCATTCCTGCATAATTTGGTTTTGATTAAGAGCGGGTAGATAGCTCGTTGAGTGATGGATGGAATTTACTATTTTATGTTATAGCTGCTTTTTGATGCAGCTCCTCTAGAACTTCTCTAATCATGGTTATGGTAGTACCTAACCCTGTTAAAGGGTACAAATTCACACAACAATCACAGGAGTTTACCAAATTTGCTACTGCTTTGAACGAGTCTTATCTTGACTCATTGATATAGGAAATGAAAGTTGCTTTCTCTTCATTCGCCTAATACAAATTATCATCGCTATTACTGTTCTCACCATCATTATCATCATTATTATATTTCCTTTCTTTGAGAAAGGATGGGGTAAGAGGGACCTGGCAATGATGTGGATGGATAATTCACGTTGAAAAGCTTCTTTGTTACAATTTGAATATTTGGACTTATCTGTGCACAAGGGATCAAAGTTCCCAACCACTACTAATAGGTAATTGGTCCACTCCTCTAAGCATTGATCTAGAACGAGACTAGAGTTTGGATCTATCTCATTGAAAATGTCAGTTTCATATATCAAACTTCCATAATATAATATTTTCTTTAAGATGTTTCTTTCTCAACCCATATAGACAAAGTTGGGTATGATCGCCAGAAAAGTGATAAGAAACACAATAGCATGAGAATCTTCATCAGTGAAATAATTGGTTCCCCTGTTTAAATTATTTATGTATGATGATTGATGTAATTTTTCTTTAAAAAAATGCAGAACGATAAGGCAAGTTTTCAATCATGCATCAACACCTATTAAACAGCAAAGGGAAAAAAGCCCATCGGCAATAATTTAAACAAAATTAATTTAAGCCTACATTATCTCATCCTCTCTTATCTCTATCTGCAGGGGAGAGGGTTAAAGAAAAAAAAGAAAGAAAACTAAACACGACAAAGAAAAATAAGTAATATTAGCTAGCAATGTTTGGTTTATAGAATCAATCATCCGCAACAGAAAACAATTTCTCCAAGCAGTAATGGAAATCTTAATTCTCCTCTCCGTCCAGGAGCATTTCTTGATAGCGGCACTCCTGACTGCAAAAGGCTTTCTCACCTCTGCATTACAGTGTAAACAATTATCAGATTAAGCTTTTAAACCTAACAGAATCCAGTTTTATCAGATTAAAAAAAAAGGAAAAAATGGAAACGAACCTGTACATGTATATGTCAATTTTCTGTTCAAGATTCCTCTTGCAAGTGTGACAAAAGCTGAGGAAACTCTCTGGTGCCGACTTGGACTTATCCGGTAGCGTGCAATAGCTCTCTACAACGCAATTATCAAATATATGGGTGGTTTTGGGATTAGGCCCGTGAGATATCACGCATGTATAGTCCTCAG